CCCTCAAGGAGAGCTCTCACCAGGGCCACTCCTCGCGCCCTATCTCACCCTCTGCCGACCGCGAGCTCAGCAGGAACAGCCAGCGCATGACCATGAACGGGTACTAGGAGTTCCCGAATCATAACCGCGTCGATAGTAGCGGGGGCAAGCCCAACGGCCCTCCACCACCGCGTATGGAGCCACGCATGGAAAGGCCTGTCCCCATGATCGATGCTATCTGAGCGGAGGTGGTTTAGGTTGTGCGTCCATCGCAAGGGGGGGCATTTGCGACATGTTTTTGATACCAGTGCATCATCTAGCACGAAAAGGGAGAGGAGGAGACTTTGCGGCACACTTTCGATTTGACACCTTTCTCAATATCCTTTTAGTTACGATGGATTCTTATTATCTTTCTTCATCTCGTATGTCATAGCACGGTGTAGTGGTTGAGCTGTGACCTTGGGTTGTGCCCGGGTCCCCTTCTAGGATAGCGGAGTAATTTGAAGCCTAGTGCTTTTCCATCATTCTTGCAAGCACGACTGTACGATGGCTTGGTGTCTTGCCCCGTTTGCCTGGTAGTTCGCTCTTTCCGCCGGTGTAGCGATGTCAGGCCATAATTTTGGGGATGGTACGAGGCCCAGTTGCGCTCTACGCCAGGGAGGCAGGTACGGGATACCAGATGATACGAGCGCAGATCCTCATCTACCATTCTCCCCATTGAGACAGACAGGGCTCAGCGCCGCCCGACCCGCCCGAAGTCATCACACTCAAGCCGTATGCTCAAAACCATCGCCTCAGCGCAACAACTTCGACCCTGCAAAATCCTCTATACTGTCATCCCCCTTCTTCGTTCCACCAGTTTTCCCCTGCCCAGTCACTCTCACCGGTCCCGTCTTTCCTCGCGCTGGTGATCGTGATCCATCAGGTGACTTTGCAGAGGCACTTTGACTATCGGCTTCCCCGACGATCCGCTCAATGACTTTTGCTTTCGCCCCAGCGCGCTTGAACCTATCATCGAAATCCGCGACGCCTTCTTCAGTGTTTGCGGTGTCGAAGGTGAGGGGGTCGGTTAGGGAGTGCAGGAGTGTTGTGTTGTTGCGTAGTCTCTCATTACTCTTCAACTGCGGCAGCGTTCTACCTCCAGCTTCCTCCTCTTTTGATACGGTATTGGACGTGAGATTGGATGTGAGACCAGGTAACCGTGATCCCCAGACTACACTCCGTCCGTGGAGTTCTCCCAACGAAGCGAACTTTTCAAAGCCTTTTTCTAAACCGAAAATTCGTCCTTCGATTCGTCCCGCGTGGGCGCCGGAGGAGGCGCCGAGGGCGTAGGCGGTGGTGTAGAGGGTGTCTTCTAGGGTTAGGAGGGCGTCGAAGGGGTCGGGTGAGGGGGTGCGGGTGCGGGTGGTTGATGGGTTTGTGGGTTGGGATGCCATGGTTTTATGGATGGTGACTCGACGGTTCAGCTGGTTGAGAATCTGGTTGTGTGTATGGTCTTTCTCTCGTGGTGCTACCGTATGGGTTCCAAAGTTATGACTGCGTTTGAAATTTTGTCGTGAGGATCAGTCTTAATTTATTTTCACTTCGTGGAAGTCCACTCTTGGTGCTCCTTCAGGTAAACAGTCATCCAGGCCTCTGTGTACTTTTCAGCGGAGATGCATATGAATCCAACTTCCAGAACGCGACACTGTTCTCGCTGCTGCAAAGATCGAAGTCAGGGTTCAGCCACCAGTGGCGTCACTGGCTGGTGGGGTAAGTTTAGGCGGGGCAGCTACCACACACCCGCCGTGCGTCAAGCATTCGCGTTTGACTCAGAAACTCGACCAAAGAAACGAGGAACTGGATATATCCCCATTGCGCGCTCGCTGTTCTCTCAACCTCTTCACACCCAATCACATATCCCGTAATACCAGAGTAAGAGCTGCATCGTCGTTTCTCCATTCACTCCAACAAGCTGACTCCATACAGCTTACAACCTTCCATGACTGATACAACGAAGAAGATCCTGCCCGTTGAGGGCGAGCGGAATGTGCTTATTACCAGCGCGCTTCCCTACGTCAATAATGTCCCGCATCTGGGCAACATCGTCGGCTCTGTACTCTCCGCCGATGTCTTCGCCCGTTTCTCACGCGCGCGCGGCTACAACACACTATACGTCTGCGGAACAGACGAGTACGGCACAGCAACGGAGACAAAGGCTATAGAAGAGAAGGTCACACCGAAAGAGCTATGCGACAAGTACTTCGCGCTCCACAGCGAGGTCTACAAGTGGTTCAACATCAGCTTTGACCACTTCGGACGTACACCCACACAGCAACAGACCGATATCGCGCAAGACATCTTCACAAAGCTATACAAAAATGGATTCCTGGAGGAACAGACCACAACGCAGCCGTACTGCGAGACACACAAGAGCTTCCTTGCGGACCGATTCGTCGAGGGCACATGTCCGTTGTGCGCATACGAAGACGCGCGTGGAGACCAGTGTGACAAGTGCGGACATCTTCTCGACCCTCTGGAGTTGAAGAACCCGCGTTGCAAACTCGATGGCGCCACGCCAGTTCCGCGCGAAACCAAGCACGTGTACCTCTGCCTCGACAAGCTACAGCCATTAGAAGAGGAATGGTTCAAGAAGGCGAGCAAGGAGGGTAACTGGAGCTCCAATGGTGTCCACATTACTTCATCGTGGTTGAAGGAGGGTCTAAGACCGCGTGGTATCACTCGTGATCTGAAGTGGGGAACTGCGGTGCCGCTCGAGGTACGACGCACTTTTGAACACGACAAAATTCAGCTGACCGGTATCAGGGCTACGAGGACAAGGTCATGTACGTATGGTTCGACGCCTGCATAGGTTACGTGTCGATTACAGCAACCTACACCGAGGACTGGAAGAAGTGGTGGCACAACCCCGAGCACGTTAAGCTTTACCAATTCATGGGCAAGGACAACGTGCCGTTCCACACGGTGGTCTTCCCCTGTTCTCAGATCGGTACCAAGGACAACTGGACCATGCTTAACACCATCTCAACCACAGAATACTTGAACTACGAGAAGGGCAAGTTCTCAAAGTCAAGGAACATTGGTGTCTTCGGCAACAACGCCAAGGAGACTGGAATCCCATCGGACGTATGGCGCTACTACCTTCTCTCACATCGGCCGGAAACTGGCGATACCGAATTCGAGTGGGACGGCTTCATTTCCGCAAACAACAACGAGCTGCTGAAGAACCTGGGCAATTTCATCAACCGCGTGATCAAATTCGTCAACAACGCCAAGATCTATGATTCGGTCGTACCTGACTGGACCAAGTACGACGATGAGTACTTCACGGAGCACAAGAAGAAGGTCAATGATTTGCTGAAGACGTACATTACCGAGCTGGAGGATGTCAAGATTCGTGCCGCACTCGCGACCGCGCTTCATGTCTCGAGCCTGGGTAACTTGCTGCTACAAGACAACCGACTTGACAACAAGCTGGCTACAGAACAGCCAGATCGTTGCGCCGCTGTCGTTGGGCTCGCACTGAGCCAGATCCACCTTCTCGCAAGTTTGATCGAACCATACATGTAAGTCTTGAATCTGTCTCACCATATGACTGTGCACTTGGTCGAACAGCATAAGCGACATCGGAGTATGGAATTTACAGCTAACCATAATACAGGCCCGATACGACAGCCGCCATCCTCTCTCAGCTGAATGCCAAGTTCCTCATCATTCCCGACAAGTGGGAGGCGCAATCACTCCCCGTCGGCCACAAGATCGGCACGGCCGGCTATCTCTTCACCCAGATCAAACCTGAGAAGGAGCAAGAGTGGCGCGAGCAATTCGGTGGCGAGGAGGCTCGCAAAGCCAAAGAGGAGAAGGCCAAGAAGGCGGCCGCTAAGAAGGCAGAGAAGGAGCGCAAGAAGGCGAAGAAGGCTGCCGGTGCTGACAAGGGTGTTGAAGCTGCAGAGAAGGGTCAAGACGGACCTGCAGCCAAGACCGCTGAGGAGGAAGTGTCGAGAGGCGTTGAGCAGATCAGCCTACAGACCTCGTAGTGTGTGAGTCTGATGAGGCGGTTCTGGGAGTTCTGGCGCTACGTTTAGGGGAGAGCACTGGCAGCATGATGCAGGGGCGTTCGCATTCAACAAATCTTGGGGGATGTCAACACATGTTTGATGAGAAACAGGACCATGATCATGGGATGGCAGAGTGTCTTTTTCAGTACGGAGACAGTTGGTCTGTTTCAACATGTAGTCACGCGTAAAGCATGAGTTTGTTATACTAGAGCAGACCTGAATCCTCCTTTTCGAGGTACCATTGCAAGCGAGTTCACTGTCAAAATCTATGTGGCCGCCATCCGCGTGGTCAGAACACTTCTATTAGTCACCTTTACACGGCTTGTATACTCCCAGAGAAAGAAGGAAGACCACAGGACTCTAGGAGAGCCGCGTTTATCCGAAGTGCAATGGGCCCTGGTTTCAAGGTTGACATAGGTCGTGAGCCGGCTCGTTGCTCTACGTCAACAACGACGATGATACCAGCTCATCGTGTCTATTTCTAAGTCAACCTCAGACATGAGCGCTTCTACGATAAGGGTATCAACATTCCTTGACCCGCATCATAGTACCTGAGCGGAGATGCGCACTCTTGCACAAAGGCCATGCAGTGACCTGTCTGCGCTCAACCGCCATCGTGACTACCTTACAGTATGACGCTCCTGCCCTACACGTCTCCATGTCCCCCATTGAGCAAATGGCTCACCGGAAATGACGACTACCCCGCATTCTTTGTTTATCACCGTGAGGCATTATCCTCCGCTTCCGTTCTCCTCCTCTTCTCCCCGTCACCTTCACTGTCCGTGCGCAATTTCTCAAGCTGCTGCGTCCCTAGAATCTGCCCGCCGCGTCAGCCAAGCAAAACAACCATACACTCAATCGCGAACCGCAATTAGTTTGCTCTTTACCCAAACTCGCCGCTGTCGCCATTCCGTCGCATTTGTTCCGCGACAAGGTACTTAGCTTCCCCAATTGCAGCCGCAGATGAAGAAACTAAACATGCGCAGTACCAGCGACCGCAGGTACACCATGGCGAGCGGATACGTCCCTCAGATCGACAAGATGGCCGGGATGACTCCTACGGAGCGCCGCGAGTTCTGCGACACCCCCGAGATCGCGGCCGATGCTTCTTCTGTTAAGCCGCCGAGCACCACGGCCAAGTACGACAGCAATGTCTCGATGAACACCTATCCCGCTGTCGATAGCGAAGGCGCGGAGCAGGCCAAGGGTCCGGCTGATATGGAGGGCTTGACTGTTGTCTGGACGAAGAAATGGCTGATTGCCGCTTATGCTGCGTAAGTCCATCTCGTTATTGCAGTTCATCTGCTGCCCGTTGATGCTTTGTACTGCTGCGATGCAAACAGCAATGCAAACAGCAATGCTTACATCCCATAGGATCATGCTCATCTCTTTCGTCAACTCCCTCCAGCAACAAACCAACTTCTCATGGCGACCCTACGTCACCTCGGCCTTCATGATGCACGGTCTTACGGCTATTACCGATATCGTTGCGAACATAGTCGGAGGTGTATCAAAGCTTCCGCTGGCCAAGTTCATCGACATCGTTGGACGACCCCATGGCTTTCTCCTTTGTTTGATGTTCATTGTCGCCTGTAAGCTCATTCACTCCAACCAATCCAATATCTTGCGAAGAGACTCATGGATCCGAAGCGCAAGGGCCAGAGGAAGGCGTCCATCTCGATTCTTCAGTGTACATTGTCAGTACTGACTAGTGTACTTGTAGCGCTCATTCTCATGGCTCTATGCCAAAACGTCCAGACCTTTTGCGCTGCGCAAGTCATCTACTGGACAGGCATGAACGGCGTCGATTACATCTTCAACATCTTCATCGCCGATACCGCGCTTATGCAGAACCGTTTGATCTGGATGGCGTTCACTGGATTCCCCTACGTTGTCAACACCTTCGTAAGTCCCTTTTCTGAAAGTTGGTTGGACGTATACTAACATCATCATGTCTAGGCTGGTCCCAAGCTTGGTGAAACCTGGCTCAACCACAGCACTTGGCGTTGGGGCTATGGATCTTTCGCTATCATGACACCAGTATTCTCCATTTCTTTCTGGCTCGTCTTTTGGCTCATGGGTAGGCGAGCAAGAAAGATGGGCGTCATCTCGCGCGAGCCGAGCGGCAGGACGGTCTGGCAGAGCACCAAGCACTGGTGTACCGAGTTTGACGGCAAGTTGAACTCGCAGTGAGACTTCCATACACTGCTAACAGTCACAGTAATCGGGGTCATACTCATCACCGGCGGATTCTCCCTGCTTCTTCTTCCGTGGCCTCTTGCAGTCTACCAGAAGGACGGTTTCGGCTCTCCCATGTTTATATGCATGGTCAGCTTCGGAATCTGCCTGATCCTACTCTTTGTGGCTTGGGAGCGTTACTACGCTAGCCATGCCCTCTTCCCATACTACCTCATGAAGAATCGCTCGATCATCGCGGCATGCTTGCTCGGTTGCAACTCCTGGATCGCTTTTTAGTAAGTCCTCCAAAACCCGCGAGACATCTGTGCTGACATCAGGACTAGCTCATACCGCATGATGTACTCTTCATACCTTCAGGTGGTTTTCCAGCTTTCCGTTTCCAAGGCCGGATATATCACGAACATCTTCAACATCGTCTCGTGCACCTGGGCAATCATCATCAGCTTCGCCATGAAGTACACCGATACCTACAAATGGGGTGCCGTCATCGCCGTCCCCACTCAGCTACTCATGACTGGCCTGTTGATCTATCTCCGCACACCCGACTCACCGATAGCGATCCTGATCCTGGTGGAGGTACTCGGCGCCATGGCGAGCGCTATGCTCTACAACGTGGAGCAAGTTGCTATCATGATGGCTGTACCGCACGACCAAGTCGCTGTTGCTATCGCGCTTCTCAACCTCGTCACGGCTGTTGGTGGTGCGATCGGCCAGTCTGTTAGCGGCACTCTATGGGCTCAAATCGTACCCAAGAGGCTCGTCGAATACCTCCCTGAAGAATCGAAGCACCTGGCGCCAAAGATCTATGGTGATATCACTACGCAGTTGTCATTGCCATGGGGTAGTCCGGAGCGTCAGGCTGTGGTACACGCGTTCGGCGACGCGCAGAAAATCATGGTGTTGATGGGGACTTGTGCATTTGTGCCTTGCTTCATCTGGGTGGCCATGCTGGAGAACCAGCGCATGAGCGAGCGCAAGGCCCGCAAGGGTCTGCAGGCTTGATCGGTGTGGAAGAGTCGTGCTGTTCGACAGACTCAGGTGGTACAACAGGGTCGTTTGTATAAGATGACCAGTTGGTACGACGGGCTGAGGAAACGGAGGTCCGCGCGATACGCGCTGCAACACTATCTTGGTGGGTTGAAAAAGGAGTAGGCTAGCCATCCGACTGGCTGTGGCAAGCGGTCGGTGGTCATTGACGGAGATCTCCCCTCGCGTTATGCATCATCTGAATATATGTACAATGGAATTGGCCGTGCAACCGGCTTCTGTGTTCGTTTCGTAGACTGCTCAGTGACCCTGCGTTCAGAACAAGAAGCCTGACCAGAAGGCGAACGTGCTGATTCGAGCACTACCTATGCTCTGTCTCGAAGTCGCGCTGGACATTTGGCTCGGATAATGGGTCACTCTCATGATGACCAAGTAGTAGATGCGTCGATGGCTGAAGCTGGGTGGACATGTTGGATGGAGGTCGACAAGCCCCTGCAGATGAGAGCTCGGAATCAGCGGAACATGCATGCCGGCATGACGTTTGGCAGTCCCCTCTTCTGAAGCTCCAAACACCCAAACACTAATGAACCATACACCATCTTAGCTCGCAGCGACTAGCCAAACGAGCCTCATCGTCGCAGTAACGGCGCGCTCCAGGATGCACCCTGCCCACCTATCGGCGGTGAGGCGCCAACGCATCCCAGCCTCGCCAATTACTTGAGTCGTAGCTCCGGTGCGCTCCACCAGCCACTGACATCCCAACCACAACGAGCCAGCAACCACACTTTCCCGCAAGCTTGTCTGCGGTGCTTCTTCCTGCACCTGCTCCGAACCATATTATTCTCCGACGTTGACACATTGACGTTGATTGACGTTGATTGACGTTGACAATGTACCTACCACATCTACTTGCCCTCCCGCCCGCCATCATCGCCCTCTGCGCAACACCCGTACTCGCCGAATCACCACCACAATGGCCGCACAACGTACCCAGACATCTGAAATACTTTCCTGAAGACGAGGAACATGTGAAGAAGGGGTTGAGCGTCAAGCAGCGCATGCAATATGAGAAGCCCGTTGGAGTCAAGAAGATGAGCACAGATGAGGGCGAGATGTTTATGCTGGACAATTGGATATTCGCCGCGGATACCCCGTCGCTGCAATCCTCCAAGAGATCAGACTTCGATGTCTTTGGCAACACGACGTCGCAGGCTCTTTCGCCGCTACGGCCGCTGGCCCAGTCGGATTGGCTGGCGCGCATGCATATCAGAGATATTCTTCTGAACCGCCAGTTCAAGTGCCCGGATGGAACAACGAGTTGCGAGAGCATTGGCGCGCCGGATGTGTGCTGTGGGACGAGCAGCACCTGTGTTAGTGTCTCTGGGAGCTCAAGCGCAGGCGATGTGGGATGCTGTCCTCAAGGCCAGACTTGCGCGGGCAGTGTGAGCTGTGATGAGGCGAGTGGGTATACGAGTTGTCCTGATGCGCAGAATGGAGGATGCTGTTTACCTGGCTTCAAGTGTCAGGGTATTGGATGTAAGTTCAAACTTTCTGATATCACGAAAGTAGTTTCTAATCCGTTCAGGCGTCGCAGAATTCACATCAACAGCCTACATCCAACCCTCCACCTCCGCGACTCCAACCTCAACCTCGTCCACCACAACCGCCGCCGCCATCCCTCCCACCACCTCCACCAGCACCAGCACCCCCTCCCCTCCCTCCACCTCAACCTCCCGCCCCGCATACACCTGTTCAACAGGCTGGTTCTCCTGCCCCGCCTCCCTCGGCGGCGGCTGCTGCATGAACGGCCGCACCTGCGCAACGGGCGCCTCCTGCCTCGGCGACGACGACAACCCGTCTTCCACGCGCGCCCCCGACGCCCCCGTCCGCCCCACCAGCGCCGCCGTAACAACCACCGACGCCGCCTCCCCCAGCGACAACGTCTGCCCCGCCGGCTTCTACGTCTGCAGCGCGTACTACCCCTCGGGCTGCTGCCGCGTTGGCCGCGATTGCCAGACCACGGGGTCTTGTGCGCTGCCAGAGACCGATACTATTGTGAATACCAATGGTGTTGTTATCGTTGCGCCTACGGGTGCGGGGACTGGGGAAGGGAAGGGAAGTTGTCCGCAAGCGTGGTATAGCTGTGCGGCGGATGCGGGCGGGAATTGCTGTCCCGATGGGTATGCGTGTGGGGAGCAGTGTACGGCGACTGCGAGTGGGCAGTCGGGTGTCACGGATAAGGCTCAGCCGAGTAGTAGTCAGGCGAGTTTTGTAGGGGTTTGGAGTGTTTGGGGGATGATGCTTGGGGCGGCGGGGTGTGCGGTTGGTATGGTTGTGTTGTAGGGGTTGCGTTCGGGGTCAATGGGTTTGGATGATGTGATATGGAAATGATGTATATGATGGAGTGATGTAGCTTTTGTATATACCACGAATGAGCATGTTCGAGTAATGAAGATATGTGCACTATGCTTGGTAGCATGAGGTACGTAGTGTGCTATCGCCAAACGAATCCGGATTGAAGGAACATACACGGAGAGACGACTGCCAGCTGAAACGGGAGAACCACGCATACCAGCGCTTCAGAATCGAGTGTACTGAGCTTGCTGCGACGCATTCGAAGATATCATAATCCGACTTGGATTCCCAATCTATCTCCTCACAGCTTAAAGCTGCCAGCCCCTCTCTTCGCAGCCTCCTTAACCTCCTTACCCTCCACATCAGTAATAACACCCTTCCGTCCAATAATCTGCACACCACCCTTCTTAAGATCTGACACGAGTTGCTTCTTCTCTCCCCTCTTCTTCTCCTTGCCCTCCGTCTTCTTCTGCACCGGCTTGTTAAGCCCAGCCTTCTTCGCCCTCTCCTTGGCTCGTCTCCGCCTCGACATCTTCTCTTCCCGTGACATCTCGTCGTGAGCAACGGGCATACCGCTCTTGGTAACGATCTCGCTCTTGCTTTTGTCCTCGCCCGGCTTGTAGATTTCCTGCGGCGCGAGCATACTTGCGCTCGCGACCTCGCCGCCGGCGGTGGGCCGCGCATCTTCCATTTCGATGGCGGGCGCGTCGGTGCGGATTTCTAGGTTGGGAGCTGCGGGCTTAGGCTTGAAGTGCGAGGAGCTGAGGGAGTCGAGTTTGGCGGATATGCTCTTCCATAACGCGGTGATTTCGTCGTGTTCCTTCTTTAGCTTCTCGTCTTTGGCTTCGACGAAGTTGGGGTCTGTCTCTCGTAGATGCTCTTCTTCGTAGATTTCGGCAAGGCCTTTGCCGGACTTTGTGTCGTCGAGCTCGAAGCGGCCTCGTCGGGGGCCGGTGGCGAGATCGTCTGGTCGGCGGCGGTGGATCTCGTCGAATTCGCCGGCTAGGATGCGCCGCTTGATGAGCGCTTCGATGTCTTCCGAGGTTTCTTGTGTGACGATTGGGACGGGTTTGCCGGCGCGTTCGAACTCGAGGTTCTCTTCGAGAAGCGAGTTTACTGGTCGGTCTGCTGCGCGGGCTTCACCAGATAGCTGCCATTCTCGTTTCGCAACGTTGGCGGCTTCCAGTTTCCTGATCTCCTCTGCGATCTTGGCCTGTCTCCGCTCGTGTGTTGATCGTCTCGACTTCGGGTCTGAGGGGTCTACGTCGGAGAGGTCGCCCTCGCTTTCCATGTCGTCGTCATCTTCGAAGAGATCTCGGTGTACCCTGGCCATGGTTCCTTCTACATCCTCCTCAACTTCCTCTGCTGGTTGTGACTGCTTCTCGGGGAAGTTGTGGGGGTTGGGTCGTCCGCGCTTCTTGCCGTTCTTGTTTTTGCTCGCCTTTTGTGCGGGAGGCGCGAAGAAGTCCTTGTACATGACGTTATTTGCGTTCATACCGGTGTCAAGACCGTCCAGGTCACCGTCCTCGAGGTCGTCCTCATCGCCACTGTCGCCTTCCGGTGCGTTCAGATCAACGTTGCCAAAGGTTGGTCCGCCCTCGTCAGACTCATCGTCGGATGCATCTCCTGCGATACCATTGGCTTTGCCTGTGGATGGGCCGTCTTCCATGGGGTCTGCCTCCCAGTTTACTTCGTCATCGTCGCTGTCCACACCCTCTCCCCTCTGATCCTGCTGCTCTAGGAAGTCGGTCTGCTTGTTGAAGTCGTCTATGGAAAAGAATCCGTCGTTGAGACCATTGGGATCGGGTTGGTAGGTTTCCGCAGGCGCATCGTCTGACGCATCGTCGGAGAAGATGCCGTCTGCTCCATCTTCCATGTCGATGTCCTCTTCGTCCGGCTCGCCATCAAGCGCGTCTTCATCCTCGTCTTCGTCCACACCGTCGTATTCCCAGTCCACGCCCTCTTCGCCAATGTCTGATTCGGTGTGGTACTCCTCCTCGGCCTCTTCAATGCCCTCGTCGTCGTCTTCCTCGCCATGGCGGATAGACACAAGGCCACCGTCGTGGTCGGGCAGAGAAAGTTCAATCTCATCCGTTGTCGCTTCGACGATCTTGCGCGTCTGTTCGAACACCTGATTTACGCCAAATCCGTCCAAGTGCACCTTCTTCAAGTGTAGCACGCTGATATCGTCATCGTAGCCGCAGCCCCGCTTCCGCTTCTTGCGCAGATCTTGCTGTCGCTGTGATTGTGAAGCGCTTACGCCGGCGGCTACTGGATCGAGATATCGTTTCGCAGCGGCAAGGAAAGTCGCATTGAGCTGCGCCGTGGGCTGAAGGAAGGCGAGCGGTTTGGTGAGCAGACTTGTAGGCGAAGTCGCCGCGGCGGGTTGGAGTTCCATGGGCGGCGGTTGAATGGAGCCGATGGAGAGGGTGTGCGAAGAGATTGACGTGTCGGGCGAGTGGGAAGGCGGCGCCATGCTCTGGATGTCTGGCAAAAGCAAGCGGTGGGTGAATGCGCTGATGGTTGCACTGAAGTTCGCGCCTGCCGCTGAACTTTTTTGGTGGAGCTGGTGGTCAAAGCGTGCGTTAGCCCCCTCCGCCCTCTACCATCGTCTCCGACTACATGCACTGCACGTTAACAACCTACTTCGTCCGGCACAT